ATGTGGAATATTTTCCACAGTAAAGGTTTTTCAGAAAGGGCTGGGATGCCTGTCCGTGCTGGAAGGCATAGAAGCAGCTGTCAATAGTGTTCACTCGTGTTCCAGCCCCTGGCGACCCTGTGAGCCACGCCCACGCCGCCCTGTCCTCAGCAGGCTGTAGAGTCCTGCTCGGCTCCATAGCCTCATGACTGGCTTCTTCTATGAGCCCACCCATGTCCTGTTTGGTCTCCCTCTCCTCCCGCGGCCTTCTTTTTCCCAGCATTATTGTCTCTCCCAAAGAACCCTGACTTCTCATGATGTCCCCAAAGTAGGACAGCTTCAGTTTTGTCGTTTTTGCCTCCAGTGATGTTCAGCTCTAGCTCGATTAGCTCTTGCCTTTCGGGCGGTCCAGGGTATCCATAGAGCTCTCCTCCAACACCATATTTCTTTACTTTTCTTTGCATATTGACGAGAGAGAGGGAAACATTGATTTCTGGTTCCACTTATTTATGCATTTAGTAGTTGATTCTTGTATGTGCGCTGACCGAGGATCACACCCCCCAACCCCAGGACAACACTCACCGACGGAGCTGCCCAGCCAGAGCTCCAGCACCGTATTTCTCATGAATTTTTTTTCCATCGAGCCTTCCTTACCGTCCAGCTTTAGTATCCATACGGAGTAAGTGGGAGTGAGGGTGTGGACGGTCCTAGCCTTGGTCTCCAATGACACATCTTTGTTCTTGGTGACCTTTCCGAATTCCTCCATTGCTGCCCTTCCCGGTCTCAGCCTTCTGCATTTCTTGGCTGCTGTCTCCATTTGAATTGATCGAACCAAGGTAAGCAGGATCTTTAACAGTTTCAATGTCTGCGTTGTCTGCGTTAAAGATGTTTTCCTTCTGTGGGCAGGATGATGTTTGTTGTCTTGATGTAGAAAGCAGTGATCATCTATGTGAGGACGGGTGGGGGAAAGCTTTTACATGTATACATGTATATTTGAAACACGTTAATTGTTAGTCTGCATAATATTGAACCATGTTAACATTAACTATTTACAAAGCTAATTTAAAACTTTTAAAGTTAAATTCAGAGGTCATTCATTGTACATGAATATCCATCGGAGCATTATTCATCATAGCCAAAGAGGCAACAACCCAAATGTCTTATCGATCGATGACTGGATAAAGAAAAGGTGGTGTATCCACACGATGGGATATTACTCAGCTATAAAAATGAATAAAGTACTGACACTTGCTACAGTGTGGTTGAACCCTGAAAACTATGCAAAGTGGAAAAAGCCAGACACCTAAAGCTACATATCGCATCATTTCATTTATATGAAATGTTCAGAACACAGAAATCCCGAGGCAGAAAGCAGATTAATGGCTGTCAGAGGCTGGGGGGTGACTGCTAATGAGTGTGGAGTTTCTTCTGGGTGCTATATGACTCTGAAATGAATCCTCTGGAGCAAATGAACTTTATCTATTTCTTGAAAATGGTGGTTAATAAATTTAACTCCCTTTTTATCCCACTTGCACTGTTTTCAAGCATTTAATATTGGAAATAAGAAAAAATGCTTTAGTCACTAATGCATAAAAGATTGGTGCAACGAAAGATCCAGGGTTGCGCTCGCCCTCCCAGGGGCCTTCATGGCTTGTCCAGTAGAATGTGCTGATGTTAAAGCACAGTGAGCCCGGGCCGGGTGGCTCAGTGAGTTGGAGCAGTGACTCCGAAAGGTGTCAGGTTCGATCCCCGGTCAGGGCTGGTGCGGGAGGCAACTGATCGATGTTTCTCTCTCCCCTTCCTCTCTAAAAATCAAAAACATATCCTCAGGTTCGAGTTAAAAAAAGTTTAGAAAGAAAAGTGGAAAATTACCCATAGTCCTGAAATGATGACTGTAGTTACTTTGACGTTTTTCCTCAAGTTTTAAGGGAGTATTTTTATAGATTTTAAATGTCCATAAACTTTATATAAAAATTTAACATGCGCAACAATATGAGGTGTGATATATATGGACACATACAGGTGAACTAGAAGTATAAAACCTGCATAGGAATGATAGATACCAAGTGTAGGGTGGTGGTCACCTCTGGAAGGGAGACGATGGCATCAGGGAAAGGGACCTCGCTGGAATCTGAAAGGCCATGGTTCTTTAAAAATAGCTAAAACAAATATAGCAAAATCTTGAGATCTGACTGAGTGGTGTACACATGTATTTACTATATTCTCTACTTTTCTGTACGCTTGAAGTACTTCATAATAAAAAGATAAGGTAGATTGCCATCCTAATTGTATCTAAGTCCATTACTCACTGCCCATTAGCAAATTCTGTTTAACCTGAGAGCTTTCCCAGTTAAAAGGGCTGAAATCTTATTGATCTTCTGGCACAATTATTTCAAGCACTGTACATAAAGGATCAATATGCAGGAGAAATAATGTGTATTAGAAATTATATTCTTGTTTAGCCATTCACTTGCTATGAACCAAATTTAGAACACCAAAAAAAAAAAAAAAAATACCCGTTTGCCTTATTGCCTATATAGCACCTTCCACAAATTTTACACTGCTGTAAGCTCACCACATTTATAATTACATATGAAGGGTAGAAATTTTCTGGACAGAAAAGTCTCAACTCTACACTTAAGTTTAATGTCAAGGGGAAAAATCATGATCATCATTGTATTAGATTTTTTAAAAATATACCTTTATTGATTTCAGAGAGAGGAAGGGAGAGGGGGAGAGAGAGAGAGAGAAACATCCGTGATGAGAGTCCCGCACGCCCCCTGCTGGGGATGGAGCCCGAAACCCGGGCCTGTGCCCTGACCAGGAATCGAACCGCGATCTCCTGGATCCTAGGCCATTGCTCAACTGCTGGGCCACACCCGGCTGGGCTGTATTAGATTTTAAGTCAGGCACAAGAACTAGAACCTGAAGAAAGCGCATTATTTAAGTAAATTTGGATGAAATTTGTCTTCTTAACATATATTTAAAATACCACAAAGAAAAAATACAATGATAGGATGGGAATCAGAATGATTCGCACCTACTGTGAAAGGGAAATTTGAACTCTGAAAGTGAACAATTACCCAGTTTTACCTATCCTGGGCTTTTTTCCCCATTATGGCTTGGTATTTCACTTCTCTGCGCGCACACTGTAAAGCCAATATTAAGTGACTATAACATGAACAAATGCTGAACCATTTCTGAGGAAATGTCTCAAATATGCAATCACAATTAA